TAGTTCAAAATTTAACAGATTGTTCATAAAAAATGTATTCAAACTAGATGATATAATCTTTGATTTTTAAAATTTGAAATTAATATCCAATTATGTGCTGAATTTATGCTGATTACTGATCTGTTACCGTAAAATAAGTTGTTTTAGTAACAACATTAAATTTACCGTTTTTTCTCCATTTTTTTCTCAACAGTTTAAACTTACCATGTATCATTTACCATGTATCACTAGAGTCTAATGTATCACGGCACAACAAATTTAAGGGATTTTTTGTAAATACTAAATTTGTCGGGACAGAGTGTAATTATTGAATTACACTATGGGATTCCTTAAATTTTTACAAAATTTTATAGCTTTTTTATATTGTATTATAAATAACATTTTTAATAGACATATAACAAAGTCATTCTAAAAAAAGTACAACATGTCAAGATTAAAATTGATAATTATTTTTAACCATCCCTTTTGAAGTATGCGCAATATTCCTCCCCCAAAAAAATGTATGCACAATACTTAAAGAGGAAAAATCAATACATTTTTATTAAATAGGAACAACGCGATAAATTAATTTATTATATTCTTAATTAAATGTGGGGATGCTAATGCGACGATGATGATGGGATGAAAAAGTATTTTTTCTATTTTTATGATTTTATAAATTAATATATTATACGTAGATATGTTATCATTAAAATAGCTTATTATATAATTTAATAAAGTATTAAAGTTTCGGGTCTTAAAAGTAAAATATCTATTCTATAGTTTCGGGACCTTAAAATATTTAAGTGAATAAAAAAGAGAAATTTTCAAAAAATAGCAAAGATAATAAATATTATCAAGTTTTATAGATGTAGTTTCAGTTATTGAGCTCCATAATATGCTTCCTTTGCTATGGAAGTTACGTTTGTACATTTCATCTGCTTATATACAATACATGGCAAGTGTATACAAATGGAGATTGCGATTTGTATATTTCGCTTACGAATATATAAACGGGTAATTATATACAAATTCTATACTTATACATCTAGGATTTTCTTAGTTTCATTTGTATATTTCGCTTGTCAATATACAAACATGACAGTTTATATGAATTTATCATAAATCATACATAAATAGTTAGGATAAGCATGTAAAATATGTATTTATATGATAAGAAATTAAATTATACAAATTATAAATTTATACAATCAGAATCGAATTATATATATATATTCTCAATTTATACAATTAAAAAATTATACATATTCTAAATTTATACCATTAGAAAATCGAATAGTAAAAAATTTGGCTAAAATATAGCCATAGATTAAAAATAATCAAAAATATAATTATATTATATAATGCACTCTAAATCTTTATCATTTCACATAATTTTTCAATAAAAAATGTATTGGATTGCATTGCATCCGACTTCATTCACACAAATATCTAGTTATTAGATGGTTTTTATTATTCATCCTCAAACATATGATCTTTAATTTTTATTAATATTCTTTTTTTTGAATATTGGTTTGACCCATTGTATCTATTTATTTTTCAATGGACTAGACAAAATTACATCAAAAGGAAAAAGAGTAATTTTCACGTATAGTAAATACAAAATTTATTTTTCTATGTTATAGAAAAGTTTTCATCATTGCTCTCTATAGCAAATATAAATATGTATAATTTGCTATACAAATACAAAGAAATCAATTGTATAATTTGCTATATATATACAAAAGAAAACAGTTGTATACAAATCAATTGTATAACTTGTGTATATATAAAACGAGAAATAGAGAAAGACAAAAGAAAATGTGTAGTGAAATATTTATATTGTATAATTATAAGTGTATAGGACGAATATATATGTATTTGCAAGTGTATATAAAAATTTCTCTCACTTTATACAAACGGTAACGCAATTTATAATTTCGTTTCTGTCTGTATAAGCGATAGTGTCGAGGTTGGCGAGCGAGATCTGGGAGTGGCGAACGAGATCTGGGAGTAAAGAGAGAGAGGAACGAAAATATATGTATATATACAATTTTTTCTCGCTTATAAAAACAGAAACACATTTTATACACTTGTGTTTGTATAAAAGTGAGAGGGAGCGAGAGAGGGAGAGTGGCGAGCGAGAGTTTGAGAGAGAGAGAAGTGACTGACAAACAGTTTGCTACGCATTTTATTTGATTTATTAGAATGTCATTATATACAATTTTCCAACGAAAAAATTATGCAAAATATCAACCCATTAGGTTACTTACCATTATTTAGCCCAATTTCTTTATTTTACCAAAAATTATCATTCGGACCTATTTTTTCAAAAATAATGCCCTGCCTCTTCTTCTTGTTTCCTTTTTCTTCATATTCATCTTCTTCTGTTGCTTCTATTTTCTCCTTCTCCTTCTTCATTAAAATTCGACATACCGCAAACGAGAATTATTTAGATCGAATAAAGTATCAAAAACTTGAAATTTCAAAAGGACTTCATATCTAAATTTTGAGATTATCTAGAGGTGATTTGAGTTGATCGACATTGAATAGTGTACGTATACTTCTCATGTATAAATAAACTATATTGTTTGCTCCTTGAATATTTTCTATGACTTTTGGCAAACTATATTGTATAGTCCATATATATATATATATATATTTTAAACTTTTGATAACTTTTGAAACTACTAAATTTCAACACAATCCAACTAAACGCATTTAATTTTGGGAAACTTACATAAATATGCTATAATAAATAAATATTTACCATTTATAGCAATAACATTTTTTTGTCACTTGATCACTTTAATTCATTTATAATACAAGTTTAATGATGGATAATATATTTATCACACATTTTAGTACACTTATAAATACAATGTAACTTTTTTTTATCAAACAAACACAATATATTTCAAAAACAAGTATGATTCAAATATATTGCATAAATAATTTACTTTTAATACATATTACAGATTTATCACAGTATTGCTATAAATGATAATAAATAAAAAATATCGCTAAAATCAGTAATTATTTTTTAAAATGTATTAAGTCATGTAATTTTTCCTTTAATTTTTATTGGAGAAGAACACAATTAGCCATATGCATTGTACAACGTTTATATATCCAATATGGATTGAACTGTTCAGTCACATATATTGAAATATATAATGCAATTAGCCATATGCATTGTACAATGTTTATATATCAAATATGGATTGTATTATTCAGTCATATATATTGAAATGTACACATTATAATGTGTTTTAACACTATTTATGCATATTGCTCTAAATGATACCATGCTTATATATCTCATATACATGCATTGTATTATACCGTGTATACACGATGTGAATGTTGTATAACATGTATAAACACTAAATAACGTATGATTAATAAGCCGGTAAACTTCCACTACTCATTCTTTCTTCTTATTTTTTTAAAAATGGTGTATATATATTAATATATTTACTTAGTTCCATCTTCAATTCTGATTTCATCCTTGTATTTATTCATTGCCTTTTCTTGTTTATGACTAATATTTTTTTTTTATCTCGTTTGAATGAATATCCATCAATCAATAGAAAGTTGTTTTGTGGTACATTAATATATTAATTTTATGAAGCAACTTTTAATTATAATCTAGCTCTAGGCCACAAATTCTATTACACATAAAACGTAGAAGACATGGTACTTAAAATATGGAGTTCTTGTCCTGTTTTTTTTGCTAATTAATAGCCAACAAAATCACAATGATCATGTATTAAACTTAGGTTCACACAGACAGAAATTAGTACTAGCTATAGTATACATAGAGCTTTAATAAGCTCTCAAGTAGAGAAAAATTGAAATAAATTTAGAAAAGTTGTCTTATTTACTCAAAAGAAAGTAACATTTCCTTCTTTATATATAGCCTTACACTTTATTTCTTTATTACTTTTGTAATACTACATTTTTTTTTTCTTTAATTGCTTTTGACAGGCTTTGAGTAAAGGAAATATAGAAAGAAAGAATTGGAATAATTAAGGTCAGCAAGTCAAAACTTTAATGGCAAACTGAGCGAGTCCCTTCAAAAGGATAGAAAGTTGGGTTCATTATATTAAACACTGTAAAGCAGACTGAAAAGAAAAGGCAAAATATTTACTGTCAAAAATTACAGAGTTTTTTTTTCTTTTTGGAAGTTTCTCGTCACCTTCTCTGCCCCAAAAATTTGTTCAATCACTTTTACTTGCAATGCTATTGTCCTTTCTCTTTTTGTCTCTCTTCCTGCTCTCATTTTTCACCTTTGCAAACGTTATAAATAAAAAAGAGCTTTACTTTTCTTTCTTTATATTGTTACAATCGACCCGTTTTGGGGTAAGAACTTACTTGTAGTCTGGTGAGAGCTCGTTTGGATTGACTTATTCAGGTTTTAAGTAGGACATGATAAGAAATGATTGTTCAGGATCATATAACGAGAACGAATATGAACTTAATTCAACCTTAAAAGTTAGCTCACGAGAGATAATTGTACAAGTAAATTTTGTTTTACATAATTGATCTAATATTACGCGTTCCTCATGCACTAAAGTCTTAACTTCTAATTAAGAACGAAAAGGAACTTACCGCTGCACTGTAACATTAGAGTTTTTATCACACGTCGATGACACAATGTCCTCTGTATATAAAGCCATGAAACCAACAAAGTTATTGCATTATTCCACAAGTTTCTCTTCGTCTCTCTCTTGAACTTCTGATTCGAACTCTTTGTTGATTATACAAACCTACAATTGTTTCTGATAACATGAAAACCTTTAAGTTACTCAAATGTTGGCCCAACGCCGACCCCAACACGTCTACTGTTGCTGATACTGATAATGTTCCTTATTTTGATTCTGTTAAGAATTTAATATATGGAATCGATTATGTAACTAACCCCGATGAAGATTCCTTCTTCGATTTGGTGTTCACAGGGCCTGATGGGCGCCCTAAAGTAGTCTGTAACTCTAAATCCGTGAAGCAGAGGAAGATCGGTGAATTTGATTCTCCAATTGACTCACAATCCAAATCTCCTTCTCCGGTTAGCGTGCTCGGGTCTGGTATTGTCTTTTTGTTCAGATTCAGGAAATCGAATTCAGATAAAGCGGGAATAGATGAACCGAAGCAGTTAAACAAGACAAGTTTGCACAGAGGAAGCAGTTTAAGAAGCAAACTGGAGAGAGAGAGGGAGGAGGAATTTTCAGTTGACGAATCCGCGCCATTGCCATCTAAGCAATTTGCAAGAGCCAAGTTTTTGAAATTGGTGAAGCGTGGGAATTCCAAAATGTGCACGGACAAAATTAGATTATCAGATCAAGTTTCAACTCCATTCATTAGCTCATCGAGAAAGCAATTGGATGAAAAACAGGGGAACCGAGTCGCTGCATTTGGAGCTGTGTGTAAGCACGTTATGAAGAGCCGATCGACGACTTCCTCCTTTGCCGGAGTTTCATCGTCACTGCCGCCGATGAATCGCAGAGATGATTCACTACTGGAGCAAAATGACGGAATACAAGGTGCTATTCTTCACTGCAAGAGATCCTATAGCACTGCATCAAAAGGTAACTCCTGATTTTTTTTTTCATCGCCTAATTTGGTTACAAAATTACATCTATCTGTATCTGCATAACTATAATCAGAATTCAACTAATCGATTAATTCTTAATTATGGGCGTAACGTGCAGACTGCTCGATTATATTACCAAGATGTACAACTGAAGATGTAGCACGCACCTCTTGTTATGAAGAAGAGAGCAGATGGAGCATTTGAATTATCAATCCATTTCTGTGTTTCACACTGTAAACTAAAAGCTAGGAGTTTTAGTTAACAGAGTAAATGCTTTTGTATATATTTTCTATTAAATTTTCAACTTTGTCTCTTCATTCTGTCAACTTGTCCAAGTGTATGCTATGAATTGAATTTGATCATTCTGGTTTTGCTATTTCATGCCTATAAACAAAGCCTAACAAAAAAAAGTTTCAAGCTTCTATGCTTCAATAGTTTGATGAGTAAAACTGTTCCATCTGCAACTTGATGTCGTCCATAGAAATTTAAAACATCATATACAAAATAAACTGCGACCCTTATTTCTCAAGAGATTCCTTGTAAAAGAATCTTAACAACGTTACAAACAACGAAATTAAGCAATAAAACGAAAGAATATACTTTAAATTTCTACTAAAAGTGACAATCACATTTTCCTCCGTCGTTTCTACTATACTTTTCACATCAAAGAAAGATAAGTATTTCATTTCTACAATTTTGGATCATTTTTTTTTCATAATTTCTACAATAACAAACGCTTTAACAATCAAGACGTTTCTAATAAAGGTACAGTCGAAGCAATGTGGTATCCAAATATTCTACTAGTGGTGTAAGCAAAGTGTGGACCCTCTAGAAAGGTGAATTAAGTAGAGTATCTTATATTATGGATTATCATTTTCAAATTATTGAGCAGCAACCTCCGTACAAGACATGTAACTTAACATTTGGAGTTTGTTATAATAATAGTGGGGATCAATTCATTCATTAATTCTCCAAACAGACCTAATAATAGCCTACAAAATTACCATGTTCTTATGGATAAGGGTGAGGATTAATTTGCTTAGAATTTTTTATTCTTAAGCAAATTAATTAATTACTAGCAGCATGCTATTTAAAATTCATTTAAAAAGAAAATTAAGTTGCGTAAAGAGAGGCTGTAAAAACATTAGTATCATTGCATTTTGATTAATGTATCGATCGGCTTATGGGCAAGCAAATAAAGCAAGGGTTTAAGGGTTAAGCCTTAAGGCCCCAATTAATTATTACAAATAATTGTTTTTTTTTAAAAAAATACAAAAATGGAATACTTTAAGGTAAAAAAGTATGAAATCTTTAAACAACAACAACAACAAAAATAAAAGGAACTATTATCTATGTTAAGTGATGGTGACCCTTACATATAATACAATAGTTAGGGTAATTTACATCATGTGATTAATGTTGTTGTTTTGGGTAATCTTCCGCAAAGAAAAATATGAAGGAAAATGTACAAAGATGATAATGTGGTGTTCACCTATTCGATAGGTGTATAACTGAAGATCTGACTGATTCAGATTTATATGGCATAAAAATGCTTCATAATCAATTTTTTTTTAATAGTTGAAACTTGAATCTCTACATCTTTTCATGTCGAAGACAACGGGTTCGATTTCTGTAAGGGATAAGTACTCATTTCCGACCACTTTCAGTTAGTGTTCATTGCTGAGTGATCACTCGCTAAAACTCTGGTTATGAATGGAAATAATAACCTATACATTCTTATTTTGTTTAACTTGATTAACACTCTTAACATGGTCCTAAATTCTTGACCAATCAAAGGAATCAATGTCTTGGGTCTACCCATACTGTGAAAAGAGAATAAAAGAGTCCCTCTCACTAAAACAATGACATTACTTACCTCTATATACCACATTTTTAAAGAATATTTTGTTTTTATATCTTTTTGCTTTTTGGAAGTTAATCATCCTCACTCGTCACTATCCTCCCTCTCATCTTGCTCTGAGCTTCTCTGCCCAAAATTCCCTTCAATCTCTCTACTCGCTTTAGGACGGATTTAATCCAACTCTAATATTTTATTTTAAGAACTTTATTGAACACGTACAAATTGTTAATTATGAACCTGATACCTAGTTAAAAAACTAAAACCTCATATCTATAACTTTTAAATTTTAGCTCCGCCTCTGTATATCATGATATTCCTTAAAGTTATTTTCAAGTAAGATTATAAAAAAACTATTTTCAATCAAGTTGAACTTGACTAGTGTTAAATAAGAAAGAGTGCATATGAGAAGATTTCATCATGGTCCTTTCACAAATGAAGCTAGGTAATTGATGATGAGACACTAATGAACTAAGGAGATTTGCATAAAAGTTTCATGAACACAATCACAGAAAACACATCATAATGTTAATTGGTTTGACTAGTAATAAAGAGTGAGTTAGTTATTTATGTAGTCATGATTTGGAATGTCCAATCAAAATGCTGCATTGGACCCCCTTAAGTTAATATTCTTATATATGTATAGCTTTATATTTCCTTTTTTTTTTTTAATAAGTGATGATAAAACGTAACACTGACATGCAAGACATGTAACTAAACTTACGGACTTCAATTGCTCTAATAGTGGGGAGCCATTTATTCTCTATATCATTTTTTCTCTTTTAACTAAACACATATTGTAAAAGTAAAATACTTTTGTGGATTAGGTTAACATAGTAGCATCATCGATTAATATTTTTTCCGGTTGGTGTAAGAGAAAAGAATAAATAACGAGAGGCGGAGGGGATTACAAGGTAGAATAAATTAAATTTTCATCAAGAAAATTCAACTGAAGTAATAAAATTATCCTAACAATATATAGTTATGAGTGTTAATTTTTTTTGGTATTTTATATTATGAAAAAGTTACCTAACTAATTGAAAATAATACGAACCCAACTTTATAGTATGTATCATTTAGATACATTACTTTATACGATATACTAGGATGTTACTTTACGCGATGTTTCGAGACATTGAGTGATGAATTCAAAATCGAAACGCGATGTAATACTACGTTGAGGGATGTATCCTATATCAGGACGTTTAATTGAAGGAATTTTGTAATTTGGGAAAGAATAAGAATATGATGTAGTTTGTATAAAATGTTACTTATATTATAGTGAGTATTGATTAGCTGTGAAAAGAAAAGAAAGTAGTGACATTATTTGGTCAAAAAAGAAAAACACATTTGCAAATTCACTCTTCCTTCTTTATTTGTAGCTCACTTTATTTTTCTCTCACTTTTCCTATTTTCACGTTCTTTAAACACTTTACAAATACATTTTTACGTATAAAATTTATCCTTTTAAGCAGGTGCATGTTGAATGAAGCAAGTCAAACTTTAATACAAAGAAGTTGTTGTAACTCACTTCAAAAGAAAGAAGGTAAAAGACTCAAACAAGCATGCCCACAATTTGGTCCAAATTTGCTCAATTCAAAGATAGAAGAATGTCAGAGTATTAAAATGTAGTGAAAGAAAAGAAAAAAGTGAGAATCTCATTCAGAAAAACAATGACATTACTTACACTTTACCCTTTTTATGAGTCTTTTCTTTTGGAAGTTTCTCTATTCCTAATTCCTATCTCCCTTTTACTACAATTCATGCTTTTCTTTTTTTTGGTTAATTTGTCTCTTGCTGTACTCTGATTTACTCTTCTGTAAAAGTAAAAATCGACTAACCTAACATGAATTCATACGGTGCACTATTGACTTCTTCATTTTTAATCAGAAATTTCGGGTTTGAATTCTGAATATGGAGAAAAATTTTGTGGGGAGCGCCACTCCTGAATGCCCTGTAGTACACGATTCGAATTCAGTCAGAGCTTCAATGTGGAATCCTGACACCAAATGAAAATAAATAAATAAATAAATAAAAGAAACGAAGTAATTATAACAACCCTACAATTATTTTGCATTTGGATAACACATAGTACTTGATAAAAATTATGTGGATGTAGGATTTTAAATTCAAAGATGATACAAAATTGGATTCTACATAAATATGATCCTACTAAGCTCTCCAACTTTGAGTGTACACAAGTAGACAATTAAATTGTATAAAATTGAACTAGAAAACACACATGTCCTACATGTCATAATAGATATTGGACGTCATCATTCAATTTTATACAAGTTTAAGTATCTACTTATACACACTTAAAAATAAAAAACATAATTATCAAATGACACCAAATTAAGAGCCACGTTTATATATTATACCAATCGAATTCTAGCGAAGAAGTTTAGTTTTGGGTTTTATCTATTTTCTTTTAAAAAAATATTATGAAATAACAATCTTTGCTTTATAGCCCAAAAGGAAACAAATTGGATTAGCCTTGACCTACTTGACTTCAATCCCTTTTCACAAATTCAATTTTTGAATAATATGACATTTTTCTTAGGAAAACATCAGAATATACTAATTCTTTTTAAATAATAAGTACAAATTTAATAAATTATCTGTGCTTTATACAAACAAAATTATATGTGATAAATTAATATATTTATAAAAATCTTCTTATTCCGGATTAATGGTGGGATATCCTATCTTATCCCATCAAATTTTATAATTATTTTATATGCTCTCTAAATAAGATAAATTAGTCACAATATTATATTCACGAGATAATTTAATCTACTAATCATATAACTGTCCTATATTCTGGATGGCAATGGATTGTTACACATGGCACTAACGTATATTTAAGACTATTAACAAGTCCTAGGGTGTCAAAAATAAGCCAAAATTCTAGTAACTCTGTCAAAATTTTAAAAGTTAGGGTCAAAATAATTTAAATTGAGTTTAATTTTTAACTCGTTTTAAGAGATTCTTCAATTTAACACAATTTTATTTTCAATTCATTTTAAGCATCTTTATATGCATGATGTAATGTACATTTCTATATCAAAGGTATGAAACCATGAACCATATATTTTATATCTTTCAGGATTCATCTATCCATTTAGAATCTTTTTTTAAAAAAAGAATTGAAATTAAAATTTTTGTTATAAAAATTAAATTATTAAGATTACACAAATCAAATTAGGCGGAGCATACCTAATTCAATCTTTTAGCTCATTTAATCTCATAGTTAATTTAGACGGATCAAAACTTAACTCAATAATATTTAAATTTATTTTAATATCTTTAATTTCAACTCAATATATTCATTTGACACCTCTGATCGATCGTAATAAAGCTTGTTATTTCCGTTAATTACTGTGGTTGGGTAATCTTGCAATAGAGAAGTAAAAGGCTGTGAAATCAAAAGTAAAATAATTTTCAGACTTTTTAGACAGTAAAAATTAGGGTTTTACTGTAAATTGTGCGTACGCAGCGCAGAACGTGTCTGCTTTTCCAATTAACTCAGAACTCTCTGCCTCTCTCACATGACGAATATGACTCTTATATGCTCCTCTATTTTTATTTTAAAATAATTTCTTTATCAAGTTTTTAATTAAATTTTCACATGACAAATCTAAAAATTTAAAATATTTATGATATTATTATAATTATAGAATTCAAAAAATTAATACTTTCTTCGTCTCATTTTACGTGGCACTATTGATTCGATACGAAGTTTAAGGAATAAATAAAGATTTTGAAGTATTTATCAAATTGTTCTTCAAAACTGAACTCACTTTTTTCTATTTCCTCATAAATATATTAAAATATTATTTAAAATTAAGTGGGACCAACAAGGATAAAATAGGAATTGTAACTTTAAATACTTACCATACAAGAAAATGTGACATTTCTTTTGGGAGTGACCAAAAAAGAATTAATGTTACATAAAATGAAACGGATGGAGTATTCTTTTGTCTCAATTTATTTAATTTACTTTTTCTTTTTTCAATTTATTCTAAAATGAATGAGATATTTATATATTAAGTAATAGTTCGATTTTAAATATTTATTTCAATTTATTGAAATAATTCATAGGCATACAAATAATAATCATTTATTTAAAACTAAAAACTTGAAAAAAATAATAATGTAAATTTCATAAGTTCAAACTAACTCATAAAAATAGGATAGAGGAAGTCCACTTCCTATTCCTATTTAAGTCATCATTTTAGATATTACTTCCTTCAAGAAACAAAATAATTTTACTATTGCACTTTTATTTAGTGCGTTTGAACTCAAGTTTTTAATAAACAAAAAAATGTTAAAACTATCCTAAAACTACTCGAAGTAGCTTATATATATCCTTAAACAATATTTCGATTCGAAAATACCCTTCCTGTCAAACTAATAAGCCACAAATACCCTTCTAATTAACGGAAGTATTCATATTTGTGTAAAATGCCACATGTGCAAAACTATCCTAAACTATTCGAGATAGCTTAAATATATCCTTAAACTATATTTCAATTAAAAAATTTCCTTCCCGTCTAATTATTGGACTACATTTACCCTTCTATTTAACAAAAACATTCATATGTGTGCTAAAATGCGACATAGACTCTACATGTACACGCCAAACACACCCCACCTCCACATAGACGACTTAAAACCCTAATTTCACTATCTTCTCCTCATTTACTCCTTTCCTTATATATATAATCCAATTCCGCTTTATCCCAATACTAATATGTTGTACTTAGAAGATCCAACTTTAAAAAAATCAAATTAATTTTGTTATATAATTCCTTAAATCATCTATATATGCAAGTGTGGTCCTTAGACCGAAATGATATTTTTGAGTTAAAATATAATTTAAGAATATATTTAAACTATTTCGAATAATTTTGATAAACAAATGAATAGTTATTATTTATGTATAAATTTTATAAAATAACAAATATTAAATAACGTGTATTTTTAATAAGCTCGACATATAAATAAATAAATAGTTAGTTTAAAACTCATTTTCACTTAGATACAAATTGTATCCATCCTCTTCCTTGCCATTATAAAGTACAAACTTCTTGCGTAGCTCCTCTCAAAAAGTAGAGAAGCTTACATCACTCTCTCTCTCTCTTTTTGCGAAGCTCAGGTTTTCACGCTCATTACTCCAATTCTTCCTTCACATGGAATCATTGAACTTTCTCAAATTCTGGCGTACTACTGCCGCTGTTAGAGATATTGACTCTGATTTTGATTCTGTTCAAAAATTCACCGGTACGGTGGATTATAAAGGAAATACGGTATCAACCGAGAGTACTCATGAAGAAATTGACAAGGATGAGGATTCGTTTTTCGATTTGGTACTTACAGGGATTAATGGATACCCAAAAGATAATAATATCCCATCCAACTCTGTTTCGGAAAAGAGTTGTCCGGTAAAGCAGGGGAAGGGAAAGTCGGACTCGCCGGAGTCTCCGAATTCGGTACTCCGATCATCTCCCAAGTTCGCCGTATGTTTTTTGGGGTTCAGGAAATCAAAGCCGGAGAGAGTGATCATTGACGATTCTTCTACGGTGAGTCCGAAGAATCAAACCCAGAAATGCAAGGTGGAAGAAAGGGAATCTTCAATTAACGATTCGTCGAAGCAATTTACAAGAGCTGATATGGGTAAGTATTTGAATTTGATGAAGCCTCTCTACTCAAGAGCTTCGAAAAGGTTCACCGACAAAAATCAATTATCATCATCTTCTTCTTCAGTGCAATCGTTGAGCTCACCAAGAATTTCATCAGAAGAGAAAAACGGAAACAGAGTCGCTGTACTCGAGGCCGTCCGTAAACGTCTAGGAAAAAGCCGGTCGACAGCTTCTTCCTTCGCCGGAGCTTCAATCCCGCCGATGAATCGCCGAGACGATTCACTGCTGGAGCAAAATGACGGTATCCAAAGTGCTATTCTACATTGCAAGAGATCATACAGCTCAGCCCGAAAAGGTACATCAAATTTTCATTACTGCTCTCATTAATTTTTTTTTATATGTAATATTGAACTAATTTTCATTTTTTGCGTTTTAACAGACGGTTCAGTGTTATTATCAAAAAAATCAAATGAAGATGCTTCTTGTGAAGAGCAGAATCGGTGGAGTATTTGAATATAATTTAGATAGAAAATTCCTATTGTTGACACTTTTTTTTCTCACTGTTTAGATAAAAGTTGAATAGTAGTAATATGATTTTCGATGTAAAGTGACGTTGTAACAAGAGAGAGTTGTTATTTTTGAAAAAAAGATCCTTTTAGTTGTGATGTGTAAATGTTCAATTTGGTCATTATTATGTTCTGAGTTCCATTTTCCAAATAACCTTGTGTTTTGGCTGAATCGAAATCGTCATTATTTCCATGCCACATATAAAACGATACGAAGATATGTCATTGTGGTGCTCGATTACACATGACATGGTGCATCTTTGACAAATTTTTGGATTCTTATGTTAGGCGATGCATTTTTTGAGCTATTTTGGAATAGTGATGTAAAACAAAGCAATTCACCTTTTTTTGGCCAAAATCAGAATCATATTGTGCAAAGTGGGGATTCAATGAAGCGTTGGTTATGTAAAAGAGCGCAACGATTTCAACAAGGTGATGCTAATATAAATATTAAAAATTTTGACTAAACTAGGATTATGATGAGAATAGAAGAAGTAATACAAAATTACTACTATATAGTTGCATCAAGAAAAAGTATATCTAAAGGATTGTACAAAGACAAGTTGCATTTTAATTGGTCTTATAGGCAGAACTTCAGTTTGTGGACGTAAAAGGGCTCAAGTTGACCTTATGGGTCCTGGCTGCGGGCCATCTGCTTGTTGATGCTGGCTGCGGGTAGGCGCTAAAAGTGCTCCTCACCGCAGCCAACAGGCAGTCTTGGCATGAGTTGCAGACGAGCACATATGCACTTGGCGTGACCATGACCATGGGGTTGTACATACCATTAGGCGTTAAAGGCAGTGGTGGAGCCAGATGTTCAGGGTACTAAATTAAGTCTGCTTGAGATTTATAAAAATCAGTTTCAACATATAACATTATTTTTGAATATTAAATATTAATCAATTGGAGTACTTTTTTCAAATGAACTTCCATAACACAAATGATTAAACATAAAACAGAAAAAGTAAATTATACTCCCTTCATCCTAATTAATTGTGTAATACATTTTTCTTTTTAATATATCTAAAATAGATCATAACTTTTTTTAAAATTTAAAATGAAATAACACATTTATCCAGAATTTTTTTTAAAAAAAATAAGTAAATCAAATAGTGTAACATTAATTAATCGAACAGACGAATGGAACATGTGAATAATATTAGGCTCCAATTGTTTGTGACAGAGGAAGTATTGATCAAACTAAGTTATTATATAAAGGTATTCATTAAAATAATATATTTGTTTTTTTAAAAAATTTAATAAAATTCGTATAAATGTAAAGTATATTTTATTTTCTAAAAGTTAACGGCGTTATATTGATATACGTTATTACTCACAGTAACGTATATCAATGTAACTTCATTAACTTTTAAAAAATAAAATATACATTAAAATATTACTGTAATATACGTTTATACTGATTTTATAAAAAAAAAATTTATTTTGATGAATTATTTTAGATAATGATTTAACGTGATAAAAGATTCGAGATAGAGCGTATAGACGGGAAAAGAAGTGGTGTTTAGTTACTCCACATCCGTGCTCTTCAATTCATGCAAATCTTATGGCTACATCAAATGTAAAAATATATAATTTAAGACAAAGTCATAAACAGATGCATGCAAATTTTGAAAGTGGCATATGAATGATGATCAAATTTATTGGTGATCGTGATAAAATATGAAGTATTTGTGAATACTGTTATTACTGCGGCGCTGAACATATCAATCAATCTCTTGTTAACTCTAAAACGTAATCTTTACAGAAACCACACCTATATTTCGTTACGTCATTTACTGCTGCAACAGCAGCCTTTTTTTAACAGTAAATCATAAAGTTATTAATTTAACGGCAGCCTAGCTAATTCCTATTGCCTAATGCCAGTTGTATTGATTTTTTTTACTGTATTTATTTATTTTGAAATTGAACTTCAAAAAAAAAGTTTAATCGTTTTAAGTTTTTTTTAGAGTTTTTTAGAATCACGTGAAGTTGAATTTGGATTTTTATCATAAAAATTTTCAAATTATTATTCTCTTTGTATAAAAAAGAATTATTTCTTCATTTTTTGATAATATGTTAATTTTAATTTTTTATGTTGGTTATATTTAAGGTCATAAAATTAAAAAATAATTGTGTTCATTTATTCTAAATTTAATTTAAAATCACAAGATAAAAAATTCTTTTTTATACTCTTATACTCTATTCAAAGTTATATCATATCATTATTCTTTGTGAAACGGAGAAAATTTTATCTTTACTGTAAAGATAAATATTTATTCATGATCGCAACACATTATTTATTTAATTGCTCACAAGTAATGTGAGAATATGTATACGTTGAAAGCCTGCAATATTAACGAGCTTGCGGACTTCGTTCATTAAAGCGATACGAGAGAAATATGTCTTATTTAAAGATTGTTTATTTCTGGTACGGAAAAAGATTTGATATACCCTCAATTTTGTTATTTAGAGCTGATATACCCCTCGTTATAAAAGTGGCTCATATATGCCCTTATATCCAAACGGCTCACATATACCCCTGCCGTTACAAGATGGCTCACATATACCCTTTATTTAACGGAAATTAAAAGATTAGTTTTAAATTTATATTTGTTACTTTTAA